GCCCGTCGATTCACATAATAAACTCTTCAGAAAAAAAATTTGAACCGATTCTGTTCCCCGTATAAAAAGTCGGTTTTGCGCTAATGCACCACGTACTGTCTGCAATAAAAAAACATTTATATTGTATTTAAAACCAGAAAATGACTGCTTATATGATAAGATGGATGGGATTTCTTAAACTGTTAAGATCTATTTCTTGAAATCTATGTAAAATTAAATCTGATCACTCACACTTAATCGTTTGCTTGCGACATCTACACAACACAACGTAGTTGCTGATTTGTTTTTCATGATTTATACGGACTAATAGTCGGATCCCATCTTCTACCAAACTGAACACTTAGTTTTGGGGAAAAGTTTATTGAATTTTCGTGACTTTTGAGTTGAATCTCAGTGAATTTTTGTATTCTCAACGTATAATTTACGGATATCCTTTTATTTTGTGTGCTTAGATAAACAACTAGATCCCTAGAGCTTCTTCTTTCTACGGCAATCTTCAACCTCTTGTTGCATATAGATATCTTTTGTCTAGATAAAACAAATTTTCAAGCATGTATGTTCCGATACCGTCACCGCCACTATTATCTGGACAAACGAGTTTACCAACCGATAATTCCGTTAAATCTGTGTTTGATCGGTAAGATTTCTGTTCTGTGTCTCACTGAACTATTTCTCGTTGCCTTTTTTCAGTTATAGTGCAGCAGCAAAACGTTATAAGTATTTACGGCGTTTATTGAAGTTTCGTCAAATGGATTTTGAATTTGCCCTATGGCAAATGTTAAATTTATTCATCGCACCTCAAAAAGTATTTCGTGCTTTTCAATATCGAAAGCGTAAGCTGTTTGGTTTCAACTTGTCTTAAAAGGTAAATAATGAATTCAGTCTAATTTTTAGAAACAAAGAATCAATGGGCTCGAGATGATCCAGCATTTTTAGTTTTATTGCAAATATTTCTTATCGGTAGGTATGTTTTCAATTCCATAATAAATCAGACATTTTGCCTGTATTGTTTTTTGTTTTTGTTTGTTTTAGTTTCATCGATTATAATTGGTCTTGTATTGGGTTTGGGTTTTTTTGGAATTATTAAACTTGTGTTATGGGTTGTTCTTATTGATTGTGTACTAGTGGGTATATTGATTTCAACAATCTATTGGTAAGTTTTATATTGAGAAAAAAGGACTCAGATAGTTCCAGTTTAATTTTTTTAATTGTTTTCCTAGATAAGCAGAAAGACTTTATAAAATTTGAAACTATTTGACAGAAATAAAGGTACATTGTTATGGGAAAATGCTTGTAGTTGCGATTTGCATTGGACTATATTTTCTATAGTTAGGCAGGGAATAAAGAAAGAGCGATAGATCAAAAGAGAAAAAAATGTTTGTTTCTATAAGAAGAAAAGAACAAGGCTGCAATCTGATATAATAAGAACTTTAGCGTAAACCTAGAGTTCTTTTTAAGCTAAATAACTAGCAAAAAATTGCACCGAAATAGATATGGGCGGGACCGATGATTTTTAGTCCCGGTCTCGTCTCCGTCCCAGTCCCGTAAACTTCTTTCGGTCCTGGTCCGGTCCCGTAAAGTTATTTCGGTCCCAGTCCCGTAAGGTTGTTTCGGTCCCGCACGATTTTTATGGTCCTGACCCTTAAACCAATTACGCTCACACGGAAATAACACTGTATTAATGCCGGAAAATCCAAGAGTTTTCTAATCGACAGTTATCTGTTATTTGTCCGTTTATGGATGAGGTTATGCCGTATGTTTCTTCTTCTGATTATATAAGCAAAATAACCGGCGCATACCTGGTTACATAAGATTGATCACATTTATGGAACGGATGGAAGAGGATGTAGATGCAAATACTAATGATATAAACAGTCAGCTGGGTGATAATCTATTTGATGACATATAAACTGCTTTTAAATAAAACTAGCTGCTTTTCTGGAATCTCAAACTGAGATTCTGGTGTTTTTAATAAAGTTTGCGTGACATAGATGGAAAGTTAAACGTGTAGAAAAGCGCTGTAAGACTCCCTGACGATTTTCTGCAACATTTCTATTTAATTAGGGAGAACAGGTGAAGTTATAACTGAATTTACGCAATTGTCAAAAATAATCTTAGTTCTAGTGTCGGTCCTGGTTGGGAAAAAATAATACA